TGGGACTACCTGTATAAATAAAGGTTAAGTTAAAAAATTAAATATTTCAGATAGTTTGTTAAGAAGACCATCTCTGACTCAACTATGTGACAACACAATTTCTCAATTTAATTTCACTGTAGTGTTTTCTATTTTGAAGTTGTTGTTTTATTAAGTGGTTCAGATGTAACTTGTGATGCGTCGGTTGGGGCAGTCTTAATAACAGCGATGGGTATTTGGTGTTACAGAGGGATCAACAGGCTTCCAGGTCGTGCGCCACAGTCTGAGCTACATCCAAGAGATCGGCAACGGCTGGTTTGGCCAGGTAAGATAGTTTTTCTTTAATTATCTTCTTCACAAAATTGCATCCACACAAAAGACAAAGAGCTAAATACTCATCTGAAAAATTCATTTAACAAGATGGCAAGCTGTCACTTGTGATTTAATCATTGAATCACAAGTGACAATCATTAATCAATATCGCTACAACCAGTGACTACAGTGGCTTGCAAAAGTATTCGGCCCCCTTGAACTTTTCCACATTTTGTCACATTACAGCCACAAACATGAATCAATTTTATTGGAATTCCACGTGAAAGACCAACACAAAGTGCTGTACACGTGAGAAGTGGAATGAAAATCATACATGATTCCAAACATTTTTTACAAATAAATAACTGCAAAGTCGGGTGTGCGTAATTATTCAGCCCCCTGAGTCAATACTTTGTAGAACCACCTTTTGCTGCAATTACAGCTGCCAGTCTTTTAGGGTTTGTCTCTACCAGCTTTGCACAGAGACTGAAATACTTGCCCATTCTTCTTTGCAAAACAGCTCCAGCTCAGCCACTGTAGTATATTGTGTCAAGTAATCCTTACCTCTCAAGGAAAAAAATGACACCTTTTCCTCTGTTAATCAAATCTTTTTCTTTTTCTCTGCAGTTAGTGGTGCTCCTTGAAATCTTAGAAAAAAACATCTAGACTTGGGTGGTGGTGATGAATCTTTGTTTTCTTTTTGTTTAGCGTGACGTGTTCTTTCTGTTGTATTAACAGGTCCTGTTGAGTGATATCTACACAGACCCAGGGACAAGAGTGGTGGTCAAGGAGTTGAAAGCTAATGCAAGTGCCAAGGAGCAGAATGACTTCCTGCAGCAAGGGGATCCATACAGGTAAAAGCTGATGTTTCTCTCTTTGAGAGCACCCCATTTGCAGAGAGCTGTTATTGTTTTTCAGAAGGCTATGGTTAGGGTCATCAACTTATCAAAGACTGTTTTGTTTACTGCACCCGGAGCATCTTTCCTCTTACTTATTGCATTAGTAATTGCAATGTATAGTTTGCTTATTTTAAACTTTTTTGGTAACCTGATGGTCATCAAATCAATGACCTGTTATGTCAATTTGGTTTTCAGAGTTTTGCAGCACCCAAACATACTCCACTGCCTTGGACAGTGTGTTGAGGCAATTCCCTTCCTACTGGTTTTTGAATACTGTGAAATGGTAAGTAACTATATGCTTTTTAAAATACACCAGTACAGGTATTATGTCAATAATACCATATGTACATGGGAATTAAATTAGGCTGTTGTCAATCTACCATCTACAGTCCTTGTCCAAGAATTTTCAGTGATTGTGAGGTGGCTGTGCTTATGGTGTTTTAGCCACCACTCACCTAGAAATTTGTATTCATTGAGGAAATTGAGGAGTTTGAGAATTAGCTCATACACAGGTATTTAAAAGATAGTACTCAAAAACTGTTTATCAACTTGTGATATGTGAGAGATGCTCAAATTTCACAAGAAACTGGTTCTTAGCAACTACTAAATATAGTAGTGAGACTACCCGGTCTAGGTGTGTCTTTAGTCACCAGACCTACTCTGGAGTGATAAGACCAGATAGAGACACTATTATGAACTTGGCAAACTGAGCTTTTTTTCTGCGATATGACACATTGCACTTGTGATTTGGATAACTATATCAGGGATATTCCTGGCAACTAATTTCTTAGTTGCCTAACAGATTGTTCTAAAACTAAGAAACTCAGATATTAATGTAAATTTAATTTAATGGGCATCGTCAAAATCCATATTCTGCTTAAATGCATGGTACTTTGCGTTATGCACTATGAACCTGTGTTATACTCCAAACAGATAAGAAAGACGAAAAACACTTAAACTAACCGGCTCAAACTGGCTTCTTTCGATGTGTAGGAGTAGTGGCTCTACTCTGAGCCCCTCCTGAATGACTGAACTCCTTACAATATCGCTAAGGGAGAGCCCATCCACGTTTTGGAGAAAGCTGAGTTCCGCCGCTTGTATCTATGATCTCATTCTAGTAGTTTTAACATAAAGATCAGGCCTAGATTAACACATTTATAGTATTTCTCAACAACGATGGCAGATGACTGTATAACATTTAGGACACAATAATTTATTGGCATTGGAGATCAATTACAATTTGAACAAATGGCTTAAATGACTACTACGTCTGGTACCAACTAGTGACAACAGTGACTATTAGACGTGTAAGCGACTAGTCGCACACATCCCTAAACTACACATTTTATGGCTCAGTATATAGTACCTTAATTACCTCGTCAGCATGCACTTTTTATGGCAGTTGTAACTGCTGAAGGCCAGTGTATGGTGCTTTGTAAGGGTTTGTTTGCAGAGCTCTCTGCCTATACCAAAGAATTATGGGAATTCACCTGACACAGAGGGTATGGAGACACTATTTTGTGCACTCCTCCATCAAGTCAGTGGAGCATTACCTCTGACTGATTGAATGCTGACTGGTTGGAAACATGTTAAACAGCAAAGAAGCACAGACAGTGGCTGCTGTGGATAGTTGTAATTAATTTATGTTACTACAATATAAAGACATTTGTTGTACACTTTGATCTCGGTTTCTTCTGCAGCCAGTAGTTTTGATTATGGTGCACTATTTTTTTTTTCATGCTGAGTTTTTTTCATGCAAAAAATAAAAATAATTACTTAAAAAGCCCAAACCATCCACTCAAAGCCAAGAAAATGAATGATCTAATCATAATGAAGTCACTCAGACTACATTATGGCAGCTGATTTATTCACTCTTCTCCTTTATTTATTCTGGATGGGTTGAGTTCTGACTGAGGGAAAGCTCTCTTCTCCTGCCTCCTCCTTCTCCGGCCCGAGTTACATAGTTACTCTAAGCTAGGGACCTCTCACATTCCCACCTCGCCCAGCAAAGCAACAGGCTCCATTTACGCTCCTCTGGTGTCAGATCCCCCAGTTGCTGTGTTTGTGCATTTTTATTGCTGGCACCTTGTGTGTGTGTTAGCGGCTGTTGAGTGCAGTAAACTAAGCTCTTTCTAAAGAAACCTATGGGTGCACGCTGATGAATGCAAAAAGCCAAGAGTGCTGTCTAAAAATATAAACCACCCTGTCATTTCTGTTTGATTTATTTAGCAGGACAAATCTTGACTTTGACTTTGAAGTTGTCTCCAACAAAACTTCAAAGTTGATATATTTTATATATAGATATATTTTAATGTTTATATAATTTTTTTTATTTTAATGTTAGTAATGTTAGGCCTGTCTGTAAATGTAGAGTTTGTACCCAGGTAAGGCGTAAGGTAACACTGCTTGGAGCAACTTTCTCCTTGCTTCCCAGTTCTCTGACATGTCCCTCAGTGTCCAGTTCAACTTATCTTGCCAGGGATTGCGTAACCTCACTAGACTGGGGTATTGTCAGCTGCCCAGACCTGGCAGATGACCTGGCATTGTGGTTTTTCCCAGCCAACTCTCGTAATGGCTCTGACAGGACATGGAAGTGAGTCAAGGTGAATGACTTATTATGAATGCGTGCAAGCTATTAGGGAGGATGGCATGATGAAGAGCAAGTCCTGTTTGTTGAAGGCGATAATGTGTGAGGGTAGCACGACTAAGTGATGTGTATGCTCACTATCCCTTGCTAGATAAAAGTTTTGAGGCCTTTATCCAAGTACGGTTCGGGTCTCGTCTTATCAGTGTGATAAGCAAGATGAGCAAAATAAGCTGCTGACACTTGCTTCATAAAGAAACAAGTGTCGAAGTGCTTTAGTTGCATGTAAAGTAAGGGATGACTTGCTGATGGCGTCTTCCTACTTGAGGCCGTGTCAATCATCTGCTACATGTCGAAACATGAAATGTGACACTGCAGCTGCCCAGCGGACAAGGTGAATCCCAAAAAGCCAATGTACTGTGACGTTCCCTCTGGCAGGCTTTTGATTGATGGCGGTTTTTATATTTTGTATCACCCATGCCAGTAATCCTGACTGAAAGCATTTTAGACATCAAAATACATCCAGCAACTGGTACATGGGCTGCAGAATGTCACATTCTATAGTGTTAGTGAAAGCTTCAACTGCGTAGATTTTCTGCCTAGTGATTGGCCAAGATGTTTGTTGAGACTTTTCTAGTTCAAGGTCTCAGACAAGTGGCAGTTCTTCTTTTTAGATTTCAGAATTCACCTTTGTCCTTTTTTAACTGTTACAGCAGCAATCGCTGTGATTGCTTTTTCTCTTTGTAATACTGTAAAGAAGTTACACCATCACCCTGTGAGCAAGGTTATGTTGTTGTTGCCCATTCTCACAACTGCTTTTATTGAAAATCAATTATTTTTTAAACTTGAACCGATTTAACAAAGGTGCCTATCCTTGGCCTGCTGTGGTTCTAATATCCAGTCGCAGAATTCAGCAGTAGAAAGCACTTAAAATAGCTTTTTTTTTCTTTTCCCCACCACTGTTAACTTGATCGTGTGATTACTGAGTTAGGCACGAATCTGTGTTGGAACCTTTACATATCCTTGTTATAAACAGGCCAGACACCAGACTTAATTGTTTTGGCCTTTCATTTCATTAACAGCGCTGGATCCCCATGAACCCAAACCTAATCACCTGCTTCACATAAAGATAGGCACGCAGTATCACTTACCATATATTGAATATAGCTCTTCAGTGAACACCCCTTCTCAGAGCTATGTGTCTGTCTGTGTCTGTGTCTGTGTCTGTCTCTGTCTGTGTGTGTGTGTATGTGTATGTGTTTGTGTGGAATAAGCAAACAAATAGTGCTTACGTAAGACGACTGATCTAAGCTGCTTGCACTGAAATGGCTCAAGGAAAAGTAAACCCTTTGTAAACACACACCCAGACTTGCATGCTCAGTAAATGCATGGGATTTGACATTTTTATTAAAGCATTATTAGCATTATCAGTGGATTCTAAATACACTAGCATTATTTTTAAAAGAAACATTTGTTTAATCTACATCAATTCCCCTGACAGTTTGATTTGTCAGAATCACTACTTCATGACTTTTTGCTGTGAAACTTAATGAGAACTGAGTAAACTAACAATCCTTGGTCTTTACTAAAATTCTATAACAATACAGTTCAAAAATAAGAAAATTGCAGATTGCCCCTTGTGAATGGTTGAAGGTTAATTGTTTGGTTTTTTTTGCCTGACTTGTCTTCGCTTTTAAAACTTTCAGTTATCGGCAGTTATAAATACCAATAGATTGGGAAGTGGCTAAAATTAGCCACTAAGATTGTCCTGGCAATAAATTAGTCAGGCTCTAATCATGCTGTTACTCTTTGATGGCCACCTTTGCTAAAAGATGTTTGTAACAGGGTTCATTCAGAAAAACCTTTGCTCACATAGTTCATCATCTAGTTAATGGTTAGCAAAGCTCTAGTATACAGTGCAGTATTTAGTTGCTGAACAGTCTGAAAAGTTTTGGTTAAAGTGTTCACAGCAACTCCCTGTTGACTGTGTTTTGAAACTGCACTCATCTGAGATCCAGCTCCATCACAGAGACCCCTGCAGGACTGTCACTCTGATAACTTACAGCATTTTGTGTCCTCTATCAAGTTCATGTCTGTGTTTATTGTTTAGAGGGGACTTCAGTCTGAACCCCATCAGGCAAATTTATTTCGCTGGTCTGAACTGGATTCTTTTGTACCCATATACCTGTGACACAGCAATACTCATTAAACCGCCTTACCCTTATTTATTTTTCTCACATGTCAGCAGTGAGAAGTGCTGAGAAGTCAGGAAGAAGAAGGGGACTTTGCTGCCCCTGTGTGGCGATGTCTCCACATTGCATTTAATTATTGCCACTTGATAAATTCTTCCCATTGCTAGAATACATACGAGGTTCTGCTGCATTTGTTTAATGTTTATTCCTGATACTAATGAGCAAATGTGTTTATCTGTGTGTGCCTCTGCAGGGGGATTTGCGGGGCTATCTTTCTCAGCAGGACTGGATGTTCAGAAATGCTGAGTTGCTGCAGCTGCAGAGGATGGCCTGTGAAATTGCTGCTGGTGTCACTCACCTTCACAAACACAACTTCCTGCACAGGTAGCACTTCAGAGCTGCAACACTTTTAGCTACCTCTCAGTTTTGATCCACTAAGCTAAACGTTGTGCTTTTCCTTCCACTCAATACAGCTGGTGTTTCAGGAAATGCTTTTCTGTCTAGTGGTCACTGACAACTAGACAGAAAAGATTGTATTGACTGTATAATCAAATTGTGTGCTCCAGTTGAATTTTAATGTTAAAAAAGATAAGTAGAAATGTTGGTGATTTTTATTTAATGAATGTACTTGACTAACATGTTTATTCTGAAATCCCAATATACTAAAATCACACCAAGTATGTGCTCTTATTCGTTTTAATGTTTGTCCTATAGATACATTTTACTAGGTGCGTACCACCAAGTATCTCTTGGCGAGTACTTAGTCATTAGCATGCCATAATATTATTATAAAGACAAAGGTAAACTAATAGTTTTACTTTTGTGCTGACTGCCCAGCCACTCTAAGGAGTACCAGTGGTGTCCAAAAATGGTGTGCACAGCAGAGAAGGCTGCGTTTCATTTTCACCCCAGTCTGTACTGGACATCTGGCTGCCAGCCAGCAGGGGGGTACAAGGGGTGTTGGGAACTTGGGGAACATACGATGCTCAGCTCATCAGCTCTATTTTGCCTGCTCAGAATAAGCTCAGGGGGTTCCAATTACACAGCTCCCATGCATTGCCACAGTGTCAGCTGTCCGCTGCCAAAGGGATATGATGATTCTGCTTTTTGCGTGTAAGTGGATAGCCTCATATTGGGCGTTGTGTTTTAATCCTTGTTACTACTCAACTAGAGTTCTACAAGCCTGTTCTCATGTGAACTAATTTATTCTGCAATCGTAAAAATGTTTCTGTGGCACTTTTAACCACAGAATATAAATTAAAAAAAAAAAAGTACCACCAACTGAACAACACTGCACACAGACACATGCTGGCAGAAATGACAGAGAGGATGGTTATGTAGCAGTACCATGTGCTGTACACGCCGTATCCAAAGCTGAAACCTCAGCTTCGTAATGCAAGGGTGAAATTGGACCCGTTGCAGTACAGTATGTAATTTATTCTGTGTGCCATGAATAGATTCCCAATAGGAAGACGTGGACAGGGGTGTTTAAGCCATTATAAGACATTTTTGTGCTTTTTCATTAGGGTTTACCAGGATTTTGATTGTATTATTCTACTAAAAAAGTGTTAATGTGTTAATGATTGTGTTAATGTTTAATAAGATCACCTTTTCATAATATAAAAGAGGAAAAATGTAATCTAATCCAGTGCCAAATCACAGGAGTGATCATCTTAAAATGCTTTATATTATATAGTAAGGTAGGTAGGGTTTCTATCTAACAGCTTGCACTGTTTATTTTCCTGTAATCCACGGCGTATTATGCTATGTTTTCCTCCTGTGTTAGTCGAAGCATCCTAAAGGATCAAATACCCTTTGCCTGAACAGTTACAGTGCTATCTTTGACTGCAGGTTTTATTTGCTGCTGCATTTACATTGTATCTGATATTTTGGGGGGGTTTTTGAGAGTGGGGAGCAAAGTTATTTTCATGCATTTTCTATAAAAGATCTTTGTCAGTTGTTCTTGGACTCTGCATTTATTGACTAGATTAGGTTACTAGATTATATTATTCTTTCTGTGTTAACAATGACAGTTCAATACAAAGACATATTAGTTATGTTGCTTTTTCTGCTGGCAACCATGATACCAAATTGCGCAAGTGTCTGTATGGATGGTAAGGTATGGAAGCGATCACTGCTGTGGCATGCATTAACCTTGTAGGGTTAAGATATTGGACTTGCTTCCTCACTGCTGTGTTACTGTATGTTGGGCTGTCAGCCAGCAGCAGAGGACAGGGGACAGGAGAGTTTAAAATACAGCTCCATTTATCTTACAGGGGTTTCAGTGGGTCTGACAGTAGCTGGGCCATGTGCATGCAAGAATACTTGTGTCAGCAGGGTTTGTCATTGGGTGGGTAAAAAGGCCTTGGAGCTTGTGGACAGGGAATGCTGCAGGGCTAGAGGGAAACCAAAGCCTGCCTCTTCAGTCGGTGTGAATGAACTACCATATGGCTGTTTAATGAGCAGACTGAGTCTCAAGAGCTTGTGACGCCCTCCCCTGGCAGACTAACAAAAAGTCTGCACAGCCTGTGGTTCCCTCCAGAAATCATATCCTGCTGTTGGATGCACAGTCAGGAATAGTCCCCACAGCTTGTTGCAGTGTGAAAGACAGAAAAAATAAGAAAGACCCTGTTCTAATTTCCTCTAAATGTTTAAGTGTTTTGTGATCCTTGCCAAACTTTCCTCACTTGATTCTTGTTGATTGTTTTGCACACTCCTTTTTTATACTTCTAAATGGTAATGCCAGCATAGGCTAAACAAAACCGAATAAGCTAAATAATTTCATTAGTGATGGCCTCGGTCTTTCTTCCAAATCTGTGAATGCTGTAGCAATTGTGAATTTGTCTTGAATGTCTTCACCACTCAAAATGTAATGCTCATGTCTGTGTTTATGCTCCTGTAGTGATCTAGCACTGAGGAACTGCTACCTGACTGCAGACCTCACAGTCAAAGTGGGAGACTATGGCATTGGACCCTGCAGATATAAAGTAAGGAGAAACCTTAAGTGAGATGCATAAAAGTGTTAAAAGTGCAAAGAATAAAGCATTATATGAATGGATGAATACGCATGAAGTGATTTGAGTAGTTGGTAAGTAGGCAAGCACTGTTTAAATGCAAGTCAGTTTTATTTATGTTTAAGTCTGGCCATGTTTTTTGGCTGAAGTCAGTGCTTGTGCAACCAGTTGCAAATGAACAGACTGAAAATAAACAGACTTTATCAGAGGCTGTACATGTTTCCTTTGATCAACAATATATTTCACTGAAGAATTAATACTGTCCTCTCATATAGCATGACATGCTGCATATGTGAGGAAGCTCTGTCTGCTGCATTCCTTTAATACTGCTGATCTGTCAGTTTGGCTGTCTGAATTTAATACTCATGATATAAGGTCACCCACTAGATCTATTTCTGTAAAGAAAGAGGGAGGCAGTGCAAGAGTGAACCACCTCAATGAGAGCTAATAAACGTTTTATTTAGGTCATATTTCTGCAGTATTTCTTGGAAAAAAATTGTAAAAAATGTGTAACAGATTGTTTTTAAATTGTGCTACCATAGGAAGATTACATCATCACAGAGGATGATGTGTATGCACCCCTTCGTTGGTTGGCCCCTGAGCTGGTAGGCGAGCGCCATGGTGGCGTAATTACTATGGAACAGACCAAGCCAAGCAATGTGTGGTATGTACCAGATTTCAGCCCTGCACTGACACTAGAGGGCATTTCAAAAACTGACTCACACATCCAGGCTCACTTGCTGTCATTAGAGAAGAGAAACTGTATTAATGTGTTATAACAGGTATTCTAAGTAGAGCCAAATCCACAATAGCTCAAATAGACATACATGTAATTGGAACATGATTTATTTTTGGAATACAACAAAGTATCATAGTAAATGATTACTTACAGTTTTGCTAATATTCAGCAGATTAAAACAACAATCCTGACAGTTCACCAACTGTACATCTCTCCTCACAGTATTCTTTTTGAGCCCCTCCATGACTTCACAGTTACTACTGCCTGTTTTAGTCAGGACAATCTTACAAATGACTTGTAATTATATTTTAGTTATATTTAGTAGTTATATAAGTTATATTTTCTTTATTGAATAAAGGTTACATTAAAAACTAAGTCTATTATGGGTGGCTGTAGCTCAGGTGGCAGAGCAGGTCAGCCACTAATCAGAAGGTCGGTGGTTCGATCCCAGGCTGCCTCCTAACTGCATGCCAAATATCCTTGGGCAAGATACTAACCCCGTGTTTGCCTACTGGTGGTGGTCAGAGGGCCCGGTGGCGCCAGTGTCCGGCAGCCTCACCTCTGTCAGTGCGCCCCAGGGCAGCTGTGGCTACAATGTAGCTTGCCATCGCCGGTGTGTGAATGGGTGAATGACTGAATGTAGTGTGAAGCGCTTTGGGGTCCTTAGGGACTAGAAAAGCGCTATACAAATGCAGGCCATTTACCATTTACCATATTATCCAAGTACCTAATTTGCCACTGAATACAACTATGTTGACATTCTAAACGTTTCCTGAGGTAAAGAGAAAGTTAGTGTTTATTATGTAATCCCACAGCTACACTGAATCTACAGCAAATACAATTTCCAACCACTTTATTAGGTACTATTTAAGGCAGTTATCTAATCAGCCAATCACATGGCAACAGCACAGTGCATTTAGTCATGTAGACATGGTCAAGACAACTTGTTGTTTCATCAAGTTCAAACCGAGCATCAGAATCGGGAAGAAAGTGACCTTGAACATGGTATGTTCGTTGGTCCCAGATGTCCTCCTCTGAGTATTTTGGAAACTGCTGATTTTCCCACACAGTCTTCTCAAGTGTTTACAGAGAATGTTCAAAAAAAAAGAGAAAATATTGGAAGGCAACAATAATTTAAATAACCACTCATGACAACAGAGGTATTCAGTTGAGCCTTTCGGAATACACAACACATTGAACTTTGAAGCAGGACTACAGCGGCACAAGACCACACTGCATGAATCTGGTGTAAATGTCTCTGCATCCATCCTGGCTTGTATCAAAGATCAAGGTGGTGTAATGGTGTCAACGATATTTTTGGAATACTTTGTGTGCCAACCAAGTATTGTTTAAAGGCTGCAGCCTACCTCAGTATTGTTGTTGATCATCTCCATCCGTTTTGCATCATGGATGTGCAGCCGACAAATCTGCATGGCAGCATCACACAGTTCTGAGGGCAAAAGGGGGTCAAACCAGGTACTAGCAAGTGTCTGGTGAATGTATGGATCGTGTGTAGCAGAACGTATCTTTTACTCTGGACACATAAGCAGTGCACGTTTTGTGTAGGGATTTGTGAAGCACAGTCCAAACATGATAAGCTTTCACTGTGAGATTAAGTTGTCTTTAGCTACTTTAGCAACTCAACACAGCGCTACAAAATCTATTTACCAATTTTGTGTGAAACTGGTAAATAACTACCTATAGACAACAGTTGACTGTGTAAAGTTACTGAAGTTACATTGTCTGGTACCTTACTGACAAAAATAATGCTGATGCTGGTATATGTAATAAAATACAAGCACTTTATGATCCATTTCTGTGTAAACTTGGCTGTTTTGTGGAGTCGTATAGAAAATTCATCTAGTTTCAGAAATGTAAAGCAGATACCTGTGGCACATATGCATTGCTTATCCTTCTAGTACAACTTTTTTTTTTTTTTTTAAATCCTTAATTGTCCATAGGGCATTGGGGGTCACATTATGGGAGCTCTTTGAGAATGCTGCTCAGCCGTACCCACATCTGTCTGACCGAGAAGTTCTCAACCATGTGATCAAGGAGCAACAAGTCAAGCTGTTCAAGCCACAACTGGAACTTCCCTACTCTGATAGATGGTGAGTCCCCGGAAGATGGCTATTTAAGCAGCTTGCATTAAAATTGTTAAATTTAAAACTAATGACATTGCTAAAATTATTAGGCTGTTAGCAATATAAAGTGTCTAATTTTTTAAATTTTTTTTCTGTAACTGTAGGTATGAAATTTTGCAGTTCTGTTGGCTGTCTCCAGACAAGCGGGCCACAGCAGAGGAAGTACACCGTCTCCTCATCTATCTGCGTATGCAAGGCCAGAAGGACATAGAAGAAGATTTCGAGCAACGCTGGGATGCACTGAAGCCTAACCCCACTATGCGGCAGACCACTGTTAGCCATTCCTCCTTCCCAATCTTGGAACAGTTTGCTGATGATGCCCTGAGACAAGAAATAGATGAAATTCTGACTGTGACTGAAACAAGCAAAGGTCTCAGCTTTGAGTATGTTTGGGAAGCGGCTAAGCATGACCACTATGATGGTAACCATGGACGTTCAGGCGTAGACACAACACTAAACTACCACAGCATGTTCTTTCCTGTTTCCAGTGAAGATATTCGGGCTCATTTCCCTGATCCTTCAACTAGCGCAGCAGGAGGAGAAAGTGGGAACACTCCAGGATTTCCTGGGATCTTACCGGTGTTTGATGCTCAAAAGCCATCTAATGGGAATGAATATTATATCCAACTAGAAGAGCAAGGGGAGAGCACTGTTGGGGAGGACGGGAATAGAGAACCAGATATGGGCTTTGGTTCAAGCGGGCAAGATTTTGTTGTGCTCCAAGATGTGCGGCTAGATGAGTCAAGCACAGATGCCGACTTTTTCCACCAAAGTATTGACTCAAAGGATTCATATTTACCAGACAGCCACATCTGGTCGTCTCTTGAAAATGACAGTCCGTACCACACCAACATTTTTACAGAAGATGGGTCAAAACAAGAAGACTCGCCTTCCTGGAGGCAGAATTTTATGGAGCTTCCAGACCGCAGCGGAAACCCTTTTCTTGAAGGAGGAACTTTAGAGGGTGAAGCAGTGAATAGAGATGGAAGTTATGGGGATGCTTTTTTAGGGGAACCCACTAAGGTGGTGAATTCTGTGGAAGCAAAGGATGAAAACATGAATGGAAAAAGTCTTTTGAGTACTGAAAAACTAGCAGATAATTTTATGTTTCTTAAAGATCAAACCCTAATGAAGGAGGGTGCTAGTTTCTTAAGCCCACAACCAAATTTTCTTTTACCTGGTTTAGCCCACGAACCAGAGGAAGCATTCAAAATGAATTCTTGGGATAAGCTTGACTCGTTAGGCAGCTTAAACACAGCAGACACTTATTTTAAATCGGCAGCAAGTAGCACATCCTCAAGACACGAACTTCTAGACTCTCCAAGTAACAGTTTGGGGGAGTTTTGTCAGTCTCTAGAAAATGAGACACTGGTGCCTTCCATTACAGTGGTCACAGAAGATGACACAAGCAACCAGCTGCCAGCTAGAAATAGTTCTTCCACAGAAGACCTTGGTCTGTTGCAATCCTCAAACAGAGGTGTAGACTCTGGTTTTGATTCTACCTCAGAGAGGTTTGAGGTTCTCATCAGTCACACTGATGACCACACCACTGTAATATCTGACAGTGCCAATACAGATTCTTTGTGCACAGATGCCAAAATTCCCAGCCTTGAAGATGACCTTGGAACCTCAAAGGATGACACTCAGCCCATAGAAAGTAAAATGCCTGAACCCCTGCCAGCTCAAGTATTCCCTTCAGATAATGGACACAGTGAAGACCTAACAAGTAATGATTTGTTGAGTGAGCTAATTGAGGATGCAGATATACAAATGGAAACCACTCTCTCTGATCATGAAGAATCATTTATGGATACCAATGGGCATTCTCATGATAGAGCTTCTCTTCTGGTGTCGGGTCCATCTTTGGACCAGATCAGCCAGGACAGTTTATTGGAAGACAGTATGTCCACCACTGTTCCAACTGTAGAGAACTTTGCTGAAACACCAGACTCATTAGACTCATTTGACATACACAGGCTTGGAGAGCAAGGAGATGAACTGAATGCTCAAATTGCTCAACACAAACTCCAACCTCCATACAGGATATCAGATAGTGGTTATGAGACTGAGAACCTGGAGTCTCCTGAGTGGAACTCTCAGCCAAATGTCCAAGATTCCTCTCCTGTAAAAAATGGCTTGAGTGTTACCAAAGAAGAAGAGGAGACAGAAGAGCTCACAACTGCGGCAAATCTGGTTCCGCCGAAAATCATAATCTCCGAAGTAGAGGGTGTGCTAGATACTCGCAGTGAAGATCCCAGTGAGGAAGATCAGCCAGATAATGAAGGTACTGCTGAGGAACCAATTATGGGAAGTAATTACAGAGACTCTGCATACTTTTCTGACAATGAATCAGAACCTGAAAAGAAGTCTGAAGAAATAACTGCAGGTGGTTCTGTTGAAGACACGTGGCTGAGGAACTCCACTGATGAGGTTCCCGAGGCTTCTGGAGCTCCTGCACTGGAGGCTTACAAGGAAAAAGATATTGACTCTTTATTTTCTCTACCTGCTGAATCACAAGCCAAGGATGTTAAGAAGATGGGTTCAGTAGCAGATTCAGATATCACAGAAAATGGTGAAAACCAGGTGGTCGAGTCTACCAGCAGCTCCAATGAAGATGGAATTAAACCAGAGGTTTTCAAGGACACTGCATTTACTGATCACCTGGACCCCTCTGAAGGTCCAGAAACCTCAATACTTCCTTCTATTGCCCCAGCTAAGCCAGCAACAGAGAGTGTAGTTCACGCTAAACTCACCAGAACCGACACCAGTGATGGTCATAAAATAAAGGAGCCGGATGTGGAGGGGCGTTACCTGGGGAGGCGGGATGGGTCGGGCTTAGATGGGCAAGAAGATGGCGTAGATGCAGACGAGGAGGACGAGAACAGCGACGACTCGGATGACGACATGCGCGCGTACCAGCTGCACAGCTCTAGCTCAGAAAGCGAGGATGAAACCGTGCACCCGGTGCCAGTTGTTATCTCGGACGACAGCAGGGCGAAGAACCTGAAGAGCTTGTTAAAACCCACATCTCTGAACATCGGAGCATCATCTTTCATGTTTCCTGCAAGGTTTGGTGCGGATAACTCCAAAAGAGCCGTGTCTTTCTTTGATGATGTCACTGTCTACCTGTTTGACCAGGTAAAATTTTAGTCTGTGATCTTCATTTTCTTAGTTTGCGGGGGCAACTGGTAATATGTGTTAACTGAATTAAATCTTATTTAGGAGACGCCCACCAAGGAACTGGGTGACCACTCCTTGGATTCAAACAGTCGGGTACCACAGTTCAGCAGTTCCACGCCTGCTGCCAGCTACCTGAACCGCTTTGCCAACTCTGAGAGCTCAACAGATGAAGAAGGTAATGCCACAAGTCAGCAATAAAAGCCTCTATTTGCACAAAGCATGTGTCTTGATTCACTGACTAAATCTTTACAGGTGGTGGTTTTGAGTGGGATGATGACTTCTCCTCACCCGCACCCGCCTTCCTGTCCAAGACGGGTAAAGACACGGTATCCAAGGCAAGGTCCTCATCTGCAGCATCGTTTTCCTCTCCGGCCCCTGCAGTGGGGTCCATGCTGGATACCAGCTGGACCGGCTCTTCAAGCTACTCCCGTTTTTCCATCTCACCGGCCAGCATTGCCAGCTTTTCCCTTACCCATCTTACCGACTCTGATATTGAACAAGGAGGCAAGTAGAGCAGGCCAAACTGGTATACAGTCTTGAATGGATAGCTCAGTATTTTAGGAAGAAAATGTCCATGTCTGTGCAGTAAATACAAAACTTTAATGAAACCTTCCTCACTCAAACCTGAGTCTTCTCCTGATCTTTCACATATTAGACCAGTTTGTAAACCACTACACTGTACAGCTACAGTGTGCCATGTGTATGCATCAAATTCACAAACTTAGGAGGTGTGCATTCTTACTGGGACCAGCTATTCTTGAATTGCAGTCTTGGTTCTAAGTTAAGCTAACCAATCTGATTCCATTGCGTTCCTAATTTTATTATATGTATGCAAGTGTCTGAATATATTAAGATTGTGTTTAATTTGATGTCCACCACTGTCATCAGAGTTCACATGAACAATAAAATGGTTGTGTTTTCAGGGGTTTTACCAGATGACTAAACTTGTCTTTGTTCACACCAGGAAGCAGCGAGGACGGGGAGAAAGACTAGGGTGCTAAATGAAGGGACCGTTTATCTTCACACTACTGTGGAATGAAGCTACTCTCGCTCTTTTTTTTCTTTTTCTTTCTTTTTTTTTTTTTTGGGAGAACAGCCGAATAAGGACAACAGACGACGCAGTTTGTGGGGACAAACTGCAGATGCTTCTCTCAGGCAGAACTATTCTCAGCGGCGTGGCCATGAGAACAAAAGGCTGTAAACGGACATTAGGCAAATAAGACGGACGAGGCCCAGTCCCAGTCTGAGCCACATCACCTCTCCAGCTCCGTGTGTGTGTGTGTGTGTGTGTGTGTGTGTGCGCGTGTGTGCGTGTTTGTATGATTTTTAGTTCAGTGCAATTAAAATGTTTTGGGGAGGGAAAACAAACTAACTGACGTAGCTTCTAAATGTTTGCTTTAATGCCTCATCATGCGCATTCCAGGTGTTTGGCTGCTTCTTTTTGTTGTGTGTAAGTGCACTCCTTTTCTAGGACTTTTGCTTCACCAAAAAAATAATAATTTTTATTTAATTAAAGAAAATCAACCCAGTGGGCTGGTAAACGTATCACTACAGCCAAACAAGAATAAGCTCTTTGATTTCACACACACCTAAAACTGACAGCTTAATTTGTTCACTTTGCTCCTTCATGTCATGTGATTATTTCCGTTATTGCCTTTTATTTTAAAAACTTCCTGTTAAGTTTAATCACAGTCTCCTTTTTGGAGAGGAAGCCATGTGTGTTGTGTTTCTGTAGCAGCATTTGAATTAACAGGTTGTAACTGCTGTAGGTGCAATCCATGCATAGGATGACTGGAACACTACACTACAGAGGTGACACACTGTATTGTCCTTTATGTTTTAAAGGAACATGTATAGTAAGCGTAGTCGAAGTTTGGAGAAATGTCGATAAGAAGTGTGGGATTGTCATATCAGTCGTTAAAGAGGCGACCCAGCTGTAAGACAGTGATGAATAACTTAAAACAAGTTGTTGTTGCTTTTCTTTTGTAAAGCTTTATTTTATCCTTGCGAATGTGCAGGAAGTCGCTTTGATGGTTGTCTCGATTACTTTGTCACTGGGTCTCATTCCAGTGCCTGATGACGCTGAAAGACAAAGAGGCTGCACCCCTCGATTGATGATCGCTACAAACAGTTTAGTGGGATGATGTTTAAAAAAAAAAAAAAAGAAGCTATTTTTAAATGTAAGGATGAAGAAAATGAGCTGTTTGTAATCAAATGTGCAATGAATTTCATAAATTGGTTTGAATCAGAGTTTGTAGGACAAGCTGACGAGCGTGTGCAGGGACTTTAAGCTTTCACAGCAACTCACTACTAGAACAACGACAACAACGACAAGAAACTCAATGCTGCTGCTTTTATAAACCCGAGCGTTGTGGGCGGAGTTGTTTGCCTTTTTCTTTTTTCAGCTTTGTGTCAAACTTCACTATTTCAGATTGCATTTCCATCTTAAATGACCCTTTCTGTTCAGCTTCTGCCTCTGAGTCTTATCATTTGCGGGGCCGTACGTACAGGGATGTGCATTCGTCACGATCACTTTCTGTATAGAAGCGCAATGCAAATGGTTATAGATGAAGACAGACCTTTCCTGACGTTTTTATGTACAGCTTTAAAATCTCTTATTTGAAACTGTAGGGTATACAGTTAAGGCTTTCCTTTCAATTGACCTTGAATATTTTGTCGCTGATGATGAGATGAGAAGCTGTACTTCACCCGTAATAGCTACATGTCCGTCTCACCTGCCCCATACATACACTGTATCCCAGACAATGTTATCCTCTGTTTAAAAACCAGCAGCCTGTGCTTCAGTTAAACTTGAACATCTATTTAAGGAAATCTTCTTTTATTTCACTACAGTATACATTTGCTTAATCTTGCACATTTGAGAAATGTAACTTAATGTTGAACTGTACTGATGTGTATATAAATGTTAATTTTTCTTTTTGTCTGTAAATGATGGGAAATTATGTAATTGAGTTCTAGGTATGAGGTTTCATTTTGTAACTTAAACTGAGTTGAATCAGAGGAACATATCACAGTCATCAGCTACAAGCAGTTAAATTAAGACAAACAAGCAGACGTGAAGTCATTCTGTCCTTTAAACTTGTAGAATTTAAAAAAAATATTTTTACTTCATATTGATCATGCTTAGTGTGATTGAAATGTTTATAATTACACTGTTTAATATGAAAATAAATGCAAATGACTTCTAATAAAGGTTTGTGGCTCGTTCTGTTTTCAGTTGATAATCATGCAGGAGATTAACACGTTTAATTGGACTGAACACGAGTTGGTGTATGAGGCTCAGGGCAGGCTGCACGGGTAATCTTAAGGCCTCGAGTAGGTTAAGATGTCAAAATGCACAGTGCCACATTTGGCAAAAACTAAACAAAGCAAATCAGCAAAAATACCTCATCCCTGCTGTTGGTGTACAGGACCTGTCACCAACTCCACCATGAACTCCCCTGTATGCCAAAGTGCTCTAGAGACGAATGCAAGCCGTCTGTTTGTTGGCTAAAGCTCGGTCCATGTAACAGATCAATGATCTCAGGGGTGGCAGAATGACCCAGTCAGCTTTTCAACATGAGCAACGAATGATCGCAAACATCACTTAAACTGAAGCAACGCTGTAAAGAAGAGTGGGGTGAAAATTCCTCCACAGCAATGTGAGAGAGACTGATAGTCACTTGTTGTTGCTAAAGCTGGTTCTAGAAGCTACTAAATCCTTCAGTGTACTTAAAGGTTTTTTTTTTACAGGACTGAATACAGAACTGTGAAACAAGTTTCAGGGAACTTAGAAATGTGTTGGTGAAGTCATGTGGATGTGGCTTTCCAAATCATCCCTGCTGTGTTCTGAGAGTGGCTGTGTAGTATAATATAATGTTAATGTTCATTGTGTAAGCACAGGTGTGAACTGTAAAGCTGAAAATATCAACTATCCGATTATGACCTTCCGTGTTATTCAGTGCAGAAAAAAGCAGGATTTCCCACTGCAGCGAGTGCCACTCCCTTCAAGAACCAGAACAGTTCTGCTTTCCATGACCGTTTAATCAAGCTGTCAGTTGAGGATTTATTTTTCTCAAACTACAGACGGATCAGTGTTCTTGCTGCACAGGGTTTAGAGCCAGCCCCAGTTTAAGCTGGGGGATGAAGAAGTAATACACACTGCTGTATTACATTTTCAACATCCCACGTTGAGTAGCCTTTTGAAGTTTAGAGCAAAAATACTTTTGTGTGTGCATCTATTTTGGGATTATAGACTAAAAAATTATTTCAAATATACTCAGTTCAGAGCAGATTAAAATGGCCTATATGTGACAAAGGTCTTTTTTTAAAATGCAGGAACATCCTGTGATCAGTGCTGGAAGGTCAGGGATTTGTGCTGCTGCTGAAACATCCACCAATCAAAACTGCAGATTGTGTCTCGGATGTTTGAGATTCACTGCAGTGTGATACGTCTGCAGGACTTCACAGCAGACAGCTTTTGCCTTTAATCACTCATTTTAACATTTGTGATTGTCTAATGAAATTTTTTTTTTCACAGCTCGTTTCAGCACTTGTGTAACTTTACAAATATATGGCGGGTTAACCTATATGCACATACAGAGGGAGGAATTCAGGAAACATCCTGTGCACACCTCTGTAACAATATATGAAATTCTTTGGCGGATGAGAAACACTCAGTACATAAAAAAAGAGAATAAAATAGCAAAGACGTGGAAAGGGTCAAACTTCCAAAGCCAGCTTCTGTGAAATGATGTCAAACCACAAAACGGTATTTCCAGACGTTTATTTCACATTTCAATGCCCCGGTAAGATCAATGTACAGCCGTGGTGACATTCAGACCTGCTGCAGTGTTACGGTCATAGCAGTTATCTAGATGTGTGTATATATCTATCTATAGAGATATAGATAGATATATATAGATCTCTATCAACAGGAAGAGCTTCTCATTTTATTGCAGAAGGATAGAAAGATATTGCCTGGCTGTAAAAAGCAATATATTTTTCCCCACACAAAGTGAACGTATCAAATTTTTTTGCCAGTCATAAATACACTCCATTGCAAACATGTAATGGTCCAAAGTAAACGGAGAAACACAACTCAACAAACACATCATAAATAAATGATAACACATTCAAATGTACATGACAGGCAACTCAAAACACAAAAACAAATAGAACAAGAGTCTACAAACCGATAACAGCTTAGGCTACTCTGGGATTGTTTGAAGTTCATTTGGTAACCAAGACTTAGCCCTTCATCATATCCCACCTTCTTAGGTTTTATCAGGCTGCTGTGGAGAAGAATTAAAAGCTATTGCTAGATCCTGTGACATCCAGTAGCCAAAGCTTAGTAAGAGCAACAACATGCGCTCACTTTTTTCTCTGTTTTGTCATCAGTGAATACTGACATGATTTCTGCCCGGGAAACAAGCCAGCGAGTAACATTCATCCATCGATCAAGTTTCAAATCCAGCCAGTCCAAACCCATGGGTGTGATTGTGCATGTCCCTTTACACGAAGGGATAGGAGTTCGTTGAAATGGTCTGAGGAGAGATGCTGTGTATAGATCCAGGCACAAACAGGGCTGAGGAAAAAGGACGAGAAGGAAACGGGAGACAGAGAGAGAGCTACACGCTTGTGGCGCTGCCGTTCGCTTGAGTCGGACGCTGCGGGTGGACCGGGCTGCGCGATGGGCCGGCGAGAGGAGGGTGAGGGCCTCGAGGAGCCTCTGCTGAGTTCCCCCTCACACTGATGTGCTCCCACCCTCCCTGGAAGTCAAACATACGCAAATGATAAGAAATACTAGAAAAAGCTTAAACAGCTTTAACTGTTTTTGAATACTTGCATGTGATTAGCAGCACCTGCCTGCTACTTCCCCACTTGATTCCTATAGAAGAGGTAAAGTTGGACTTTTCCAGAGTTCTTCTGCATTTTGGTTTAGATGTTGTTAAATAAATGAAAACACTGTAATTTGATATTGTATTTACCTTATTTTAAGACCTGGTATCTACCAGATAGATTTATTATATTGTGAATATGTACATCTTTAGAACTGAAAGCGGGTGTTACTTCATATTACCCTGACTGTATATATTTTGCTGGTTTTTAAAGTGCAGTTAATTTTAACCCAATTATTAGACAATTAAAAAATAGCTTTACTTCAAATCTTAACACCAAGTTTGAAAGGTGCCTTTTACCAATAGCCTGAATTCTTCAATTCAAGTAAGGAGAACATGATGGCTCTGCCTAAAGCTTCTGCTTATGTTGATTTAAGGCTTGATTCATAGTCCTGTGTTGGATCCCTGCAGAGCTTCTCTCTCGGTGTCACTGTTTGCATACAGAATATACTTCTCCATCAGTGTGTCTGCCAGCACGAGTGAACCTGAGCTGATCATCTTGCACTCTGCGCTAATAAATAGGGAATAAGATTTAGTTTACACTGGCAAAATACTGGCTGTTGCGCGAGCTCTGTTAAGCATTTGTTTGACAG